TACCGATATATTTATTTAAGAATTTTTATTGTTGTTATCGGACATACATAAAATAGACTGTAAAAATATTAAAGGGTGGCCTTCAGTCTAATTCCTTGGTTAATCCTAGAGCTGCATACTCTCCTGACCTATACACGCCTATGAGAAAAACCTTATAAATATTAAGTGTATTTACATTTTATGCGACACTCACATGTCATACTGCGAATCACTCTTTAAATAGAAAATTCACTATAATATAAATTCATTTTCTAAGACAAATATATTTGAATTAATTATATTTTGTTATTAATGCTAATACGATTGCGTAGGGCAATGAACGATAAAACCACTGTCCTTACTCTTACATAATCGATATGTGGACGCATTAATGTTGCGGAGAGCAATTTCTGAATGATATACGAAATAACAAATTGTACTAATTAACCAGAGTGCCCTAGACTGTCCCGTGCGGTATACAATATTCGGTATTGTTACAATACCGCGTTGCAATCTTTTCTATCATGTGTACACTTATATTTTTTTTTCTTTTTCTAATTTCGCCATCATACTTTTTTTTTAAGTGACAAACGTCGAATTCGTCGATTCGTTGCTTAATTTGTAAACACTTCATGGAGTTGCGTGTATGAAATAAGTTATGATATCAAAGACCTTTCGAGTTGTAAATTGTATCTATTTCTATAAGTTACAACTTTCGATGGCAAGTATTGTAATAAAAAAACATTCAGTTTTATTTTTGCGCTTTTATAAGAACAAAAATGTACATTAATATAGAATATAATATAAACGATTATATCAATAAAATAGGATGGCACACATAATGTGTATACATTTTTTCTGTTAAAAAAGGAAAGAAACAATGAAATTTATCATGAAGCATTGTTAACACACGTCACGACACATATATACATGTTTATATATGTATATATATAATATCCAGGAAAATATTATATATATAAATATGTAAAATTATTCTAGTATAGCGATAGCGTGGTATAAGAAGAGACGGTTACTTATCTTCTTGTATGCACTCTGGATTGATAATAGGCTTATACCAATATGTAGATAGTTGAAGAGAAAAGTAAACAGGTTTAATTTAACAATTTTCGATTCGTTCTCGATAAGTTTTGTACGTTTATTGTAGATGATAATTTTAGAGGGAAAAGTACCGCATTCGATAAAGGAAATAACATAGTGCGTTTTTGCACTGTACGGCTGTATTATTTAATTGTACTACTTGCCAGCAACTTTCATGGCAAGCCATGTTGGTAAAACAGAGAAACATTCATAAACGTAATTACAGAAATATATAGTTTACTGTAATAATTTGTACAATATTATATGATTATTAAAATAAAGTGTACCAACATTGTACTCCAGCGTGTGATTTATTTGTAAAAATTTCTAAAACATCCAATGCAGACACTCTCCTGAAAGGTATCAGTTCTCACTTTAATAATTCCAAATAATTATACAATTAATTACGATTTGCAATAAAATTATACTTACAAAAAACACAAAATACAAAAGCACGATAAGTTTAAGAAATATTAATAAAATTGTAGAGTAATCATATGTGTATCTATATAAAAAATAATTATTATATTCAATTATTATATTAATATACATTTTTTTAACTGTTATTATACAAATTTAAAACAATTGAGTTTAAAAATATATTGCATTTAATAATTTTTTAACGACCTTAAAAGTCTTATATTAGAAACTTAAATAAATTGATTTAATTTCAAAATTAATTTAATTCTTATTAACAGATAACAACAATCTTACAATAAAAGAAATTCCAATTTTGCTTAAATTTGAAATTCATTTCCGGTGAAACCTTTGTCATCAATTGGTGAATTCGCAAGCTTTCATCAAAACACGTAATGTTTTTAAATTCGTATTGGATATATTTTCATATTCTTTATGAACTATATTCTGCATAAAAATTGAACTTATATTTTATTACTATGAAGTGTGTTATTATTTCATTATAATTTACTATTTCATTTATATATTGGATTTATGCAGAAAATGCATTGTGCCTTCTGAATGTATCAACATTTGGCGGGTAATCGTGTTGCGTCTATAGACTAGTGAGTGCACCGGTTTCGACCGAGTATTTTGCTTAGAAGCTAACGTCAACGATAAAGCAATAACAAAACGATGGATGCTGAACTGCCCTACGCGGTTGAATATGCAAAGAGTGCACGTGCTTCATGTCAAACTTGTAAGAAATCTATTGCAAAGGATGCGTTGAGGCTTGCTGCTATTGTACAGGTACGCATTATGAAACATGTACACAATATTTTTCGTTGAATTAATATGTACGTCATTGCCAAGATCAATAACAAACTTTTAAAGTCACAATATGTTTTTCATTAATCCTTATTTAATTTGTAATGACTTATGATCTAAAGTATCGTTAATATTACAAAATAAACGTTGCAACGATACTATTAACACGTGATTCGTTTGAAAGGATTAATTTCTACAGTCTTTACATTTTGCATGTTTGTTGTTTACTTTTGCTTCACTGATGAAGTAATTCCATTTTGTATGTACTTCGTCTATCAATTTTTTTTGTTAATTTTTTCTATGAAATATTCATACATGGTCATCCATTTAAAGCTTCTTTGTGAAGATGCCTTTGTTGTTAATTTTTCAGAGCCCTGTTCATGATGGAGTGATACCAAAATGGTATCACCCTACCTGTTTCTTTACGAAACAAAGACCTAAATCTGCTGCAGATATTGCTAATTTTGATAATATTCGTTGGGAAGACCAAAAGGACATTAAAGAGAAAATTGGTTTGTTCTTTGATATATTGTAGATAGTATTCAGTTTGTAATGATATAGTTTTTCTATAATGCTTCAATTAACATTTTCACGACTGGCAATGTAGTCCTATATCATTTCAAATTCTTCAGCTGAATACACTCTATTTAAAAATATTTTTTCCATTTGCATTTATAATGTTTAGTGCTTTAAAACTTTGAACAACAAACAACTGTTCACATACATACAAATGGCAGAATCTTATATTCAGCTACAGACTATTGGAAATTATATGAATATTCAGCTAAACATTTTATTTGTCTATCACCTATCGCAAAAGTGTTAACAAGATGCTTACTAACAATACCAAAAAGAATATCTACAGAAATATATTAATTAAAGACAATATTACAACCTGTTTGAGAAATGTGCAATTGTCTTTCTAGATGTTTGATTGTATTATCAAAAGTAATTTTGAACTATTTTCTATAATTGCAGCAATTATTGTACTCTGTATAAAATACAATTTTTTTTTTAAATAGAGGAAGCAAGTAAGCTTGCACCACTGCCTACTGGTAAAGGAAGAAAACGTGGTAGTACTGCAAAAAGTACAGGTGTTGCAAAGGACTTTCTGATTCAGTCTGCCAAATCTAATAGGTCGACTTGCAAAGCATGTGAAGAAAAAATAGTACAAGGTGAAGTGAGGGTATCGAAAAAAGATTTTGAAAGTGAACAGGGTAGAAGATATGGTGGAATAGATAGATGGCACCATCTTGATTGTTTTGTGAAAATAAGAGAAGAGTTAGAATTTTATGAAAGCGGTGATGCATTGCCCGGTTTTGGAGACCTCCCCAAGGATGATCAGAAAAAAGTTAAAGCAGCTTTACCCAAAATTAAGTCCGATGATGTTCCAGCAATAAAAAAGTTGAAGAATGAACCAGAGGACGTGGAAGAAGAGAATGAAATGAAACAGCAGAATGAGGAACTGTTCAAAGTTAGAGACATGCTATCTTCAATGAAAAAGAATGAGCTCATAGCCATCTTAGAGAAAAATGAGCAACAAATTCCAGAAGGAGTACCAGCTGTAAGTAACAAATCATTGACAGTGAAGTTATGTACAATGTTAAGTACATTTAAATTAAGCTGTTAATTTCTTATTATAGATAATAGATCGATTGAGTGATGCAATCTGCTTTGGAGCTTTAAAGCCATGCACAAAATGCAATGGTCAACTTGTATACACTTCAGGACTTGGGTATAAATGTACTGGAGATATAACTGAATGGACTAAATGCGAAAATGTAACTCAGGATCCCAAAAGGAAAAAAATTTCAATACCATCAGAATTAAAAGAAGAATATCCTCAACTGTAAGTAGTTTAGCTGTTACATTAAGGAATTAATGTATGATGAGATGATAAAAAATTAATCGTTCGTTAAATATTTAATAGTGCATCGTTGAAAGCCAAGGTCAAGAGGAGACTGATAAAAGTGACTGCACCATCAACCTCTAGCTTAGTAAAGAAAGAAGATGTAGTTGATTCAGGACCCAAAGTTAAATCAAAACCGAAACCATTAAAACACATGCAATTCTTTATCATAGGACGTACAAAGAAAGATAAAAATGAATTGAAGAAAGATATCATCCATTTAGGGGGAGATGTAGCATCAAAGCTTCATGAGAATGTAGCTGCTGTAATATCGACTCAAAAGGACATAGACAAAATGAGTGCGAAAATGGAAGAAGCTCAGTCTCTTAATATTCAAGTTATCACGGAAGATTTCGTTGAAGAAGCTAAAGAATACACAAAACCTGCTATCTCCCTTATTAAAAAGAAAACTATTTCAAGCTGGGGTGGTAATTTGTCTGATAGAATTAACGTTGTAGCAGAAAAATCTGCCGCGAAAAGCAAGGGTAAAAGTACTTTTGAAAAATCAGGATCTGGAAAAGTGAAACTACAATTAAAACAAGGTGGAACTGTGGATCCAGACAGTGAATTGCAGGATGTTGCTCACGTGTATCAAAGCGGTAAAAATAAATATACTGTCACATTAGTACTTACAGATATACAAACTAAGAAAAACAGTTATTATAAGTTACAAATTTTGGAGCACGATAAGCACAAAAAGTATTGGTTGTTCAGAAGTTGGGGTAGGATAGGAACAACGATTGGTGGTACGAAACTGGAACAGTTGTCCCTGGAGGAATGTATAGAACAGTATGAAAATCTTTATGAAGAAAGGACTGGAAATGTTTGGAGTCAAAGGGAACACTTTGTTAAAGTGCCTCACAAGATGTATCCGGTTGATATTGATCATGGAGAAGAAGTTTCTACGCAGTTATTAAATAGTGATATTAAAAGCAATTTGGAAAAACCAATTCAAGATTTAATAAAACTGTTGTTCGATGAGGCAAATATGAGGAAAGTAATGGCAGAGTTTGAAATTGACACAGATAAGTTACCACTTGGAAAAATAACTAAAAAGCAAATACAAAAAGCATACTCTGTATTAACGGATTTACAAGGAGTATTGAAGAATGAGAATGCTGATCGGATTATTTTAGTAGATGCATCTAATAGATTTTATAATCTAATACCTCATAATTTTGGAGTATCCGGGCCAAAGATTTTAGATACTATTGATGAGATTCACGCGAAATGTGAGATGTTGGATGCGTTGCTAGAGATGGAGATTGCCTATTCTCTATTACATAGTAAGGTAGACTCATCGGAGAATCCACTTGATGCTCATTACAAACAATTGAATACAGATATAAAAGTTCTGGATAAAGAGAGTGAAGAATACAAGGTCATTGAACAGTATGTTAAGAATACTCACGCTGCAACTCATAAGCAGTACGAGTTGGAGATTGAGGATGTATTTGTTGTTAAGAGAAAGGGAGAGGACAATAGATATAAGCCATTTAAGAAACTGCCAAACAGGAAATTGCTATGGCACGGTTCCAGAACAACCAATTTTGCTGGAATACTTTCTCAGGGATTAAGAATTGCTCCTCCAGAAGCACCTGTTACAGGTTACATGTTTGGTAAAGGTATATATTTTGCAGACATGGTTTCGAAGTCTGCTAACTACTGTTGCACGAACACTGAGAATTCTACTGGATTGTTATTGCTTTGCGAAGTGGCATTGGGTAATATGTATGAAAGATATGCAGCAGATTACATTGAAAAATTACCAAGTGGTAAACATTCAACATTTGGTCATGGTCAAACACAACCTGATCCTGAAAATTCTTATAAGACGAAGGATGGCGTTGAAATTCCATACGGCCCTTCTACGCCTGCGAAACTTCCTAAGAAATCAGCCTTGTTATACAATGAGTACATTGTATACGATGTTGCTCAGGTAAAAGCGCAATACTTGCTGAAGATGAAATTCAAGTATATAATGTAATATTTTTTTACATAAGCTCATTAAGATTACCAAAATAGAATTAAGTACATTATATTTAATAAACTTTGTCTTTATTAAGAATACTTAAATATGTTTTTGGTACTACCTCGTATACAATCATGATAATGACATTAATTGTTTCTGTAACTATACATATAAACATTTTTTTTAAGTAAGTTGCTAAAATAAATTCGTATAAAAAGATCCCTGCATACTTATTAATATGTTCAATCGAGACTGCGATTTCAATGAATGTTAAGGGAACAAAATAATTTACATTATTCGTTTATTTAATACATATTTATTTTTCTGCTTCGCAAAAATTAATATTCAAAATGGAAGTCGAAGTATGATTGATCAAATGTGTTAATGCGAACATAACCGTCTTCTCCACCTGTTGAAAAGCTCCGACCATTAGGATGGAAAGCTAGAGAGTTAATTGGACCGAAATGTCCCTTCAAACGCGCGAACTCTTCTTCGAATACCAAGTGATAAAATCGTGAATCAAATTTCCCTTGACGCGTGGATGTTGTTGTTACGTCCATAGCATCTTGACCACCACCAAGAACCACCTACAAGAACATGGTTTTTATACAATATCACTACATATAATTTTTTAAGTACCAAAAGAACACAAGAAATCCAACATACATGGTCAAAAATAGGAGAAATTGTGGCAGAATTCACAGGCCTCTCTGTTTTGTACGTCTTCAATAACATTAATGATTCACTGTCAAACAATTTTGCTGTGTTATCTTTTGATGCAGTTACAAACATTGTGCCATCCTTATTGAACTGCATATCATTGATTTGAGATTTGTGACTCGCAACACTGGACAGTTTCTTCCTTGTCTGTTGATGAACAAACTTCATTAATTACTTATTTACAGATAGTGTTTAAAATATTACAAACAATATAATCTTACTTACCCTCACATCCCAAAGAGTAATTTCACCATCTTCGTGTCCAGTAATAATTGTTTCATCTAGAGCACCCCATAAAATAGCAGAGATTCTGGGACCAGGAACTGAAATTCTAGAAATTGCATCTTCTTGTGACAACTGTCCATCAACATTTCTGATGTCTATAATGAACATCTCGCACTGATGTCCTAAAGCTTTATCTGTAGAATATACAGCAAGATCTGCTGAATAACTAAAGCTACATGTTCTTACTGAACTGTTTGTGTGAAGTTGACCTATTTCTTTGCCTAAAAGTGAAATTCAAAACACAGTGAACTTTATGGTTTAATTTTTAAATGTAAATGTAAATTATTTGACATAACTTGAATTAAGTTGTACATATTTCACGTTGATATGACATGTTGACAATAATGTTATATATATTTCATATATGATCATTTCCTTGTAACAAGAAATACAAACCAGTTTGACAATCCCAAACTCTCAATGAGTTATCACCGCTACCAGATATAAATCTAGTTGTGTCCCAATTGACATCAATACACCATACTGAACCATTGTGACCATTAAAAGTTCCAAGACGTTCCCCATTTAAAGAGTACCAAACATTTGGTTTTTTGTCTTTGCTTGAAGAAAACAATAAATCCCCTTCTCTATTGTATTTAATCTTTGTTATGGCACGTTCGTGCCCGTGTAACATTAAAGGTTTCTGAAACATAAAAAAATTTACTTGCGTTTCAATTACGTTAGCATAATCATACAACACCATTAAGCACGATGACTTTAATATTATTCCATATATTAAAAATTAATTAAAAAAATTAATTGAACATTAGAATAATAAATAAAATTAACTTTGTACACGCATAGAATTCTTAATGTCACCGAGGTTATGCTGTCACATGTTTAAATATTTCACAAAACGTTCATACGGAATCGTGGATTTCAAATATCGAGTATAGTTATTTATTAACATGTAAAACGACTAACCATTTTATTTTGTAATACACAATCAAATAAATTCTTCAAAAGATCAACATACGAACACTCAATCACAAAATTCTCAAACGGTAAAAGGACACGAACATTGAAATAGGTAGAAAGGATCTATCAACCTATGCACTTTCATGGTGACATTGTATCAGTGAATCCATATAGTATCCGCCAATAACTTTCAAGTACCTCTTAGGTACCAAGAAATCATGAATATGATTATTATTTACACGTTTTAGAAATGGTTGTTATATTAAATGGAATATTTATAAAAAGCGCAAAACGAGTAGCATAAATTATCTGAAAATATTCATGAAATTTATCAGAACTTTAAAAAAGTGCAACGAAAAGTTTCTGACAACCAAGTGTCGCATCTTAGTTACGAAGAATTCAGTCCTGTTCCAAATTCCGGTTGTGCATATGTATTGTTGAAAATTGGAAAAGGAAACGAAACTGAAACAGCATGTCTGAAGTTGTTGCTCAGCATGAAATTAATCAGAGCTATTGTTTCAAATGGAATGATTATCATAGACATTTATCCAATGTAGTTAGACAACTATTGGAAGAGGATTGCATGGTGGATGTAATACTGGCAGCTGCTGGAGAACGCATTCATGCCCATCGTATAGTCCTTTGTGCATGTAGCACTTTGTTTCGAGTAAACAACTTTTGCACTTTTACGAGCTACCCTGACAGACTTCGAAACATAAATTTCCTTTATATTTATGATTCTTGTTGCTTCTGTAATAAATAGATTGCGGATTTCTTGCGTTTAAAATGCAATCTCAGCATACAATACTATCAATATAATGTAAAACTTTATGAAATTTAACTTTACAGTTTTCAATGTATTTAAAATTTGAAGTACCTTTTTTGGATTTTAATTTATTTACTTTATAAAAAATCTACGTTTACAGAAACAGCAGTGGAGTAGCAATCAAATTTGAATTCTGTATTTCTTATTTTATGAAGAGTTTTTTCATGAGATCATTGTTGTGCATGTATTTATAGGAGGTATTGAGCCAAGTAAATGAGGATCATCCAACAATAATATTAAGTGATATATCAGCGCAAGATATAAAATCTATTGTTGAATTTATTTATCATGGAGAAGTGAGAGTGCCAGTGGAAAATATTAGTAGCTTATTGGATGCTGCAAGGTCTTTAAAAATATGCGGTCTCATTGAGGTTTTCTTTTATCATATTTATATTTATTTGGATAATAAATATTAATAGTTAATACTATTAACATTTTATTTATAGATTAATGGTCTAAATGAGATTCACTCAGTTGTAAATACTAAAGAATTTAGTGATAACACTGAAGAACCAATGACTATTATTAATGAAACAGAAGAAAATGTTATGCATGCATTACAATATGGTTATGAAGATTTGGAAGATCAACAAGAACAACAGTTTACTGAAAATTCAACTTTAAGCAAAAAAAAGAAACGCAGACGTGATACCATGAAAAGAGAATATAGTGAAGATATGTTAACATCGGCAATCAATGATTTGAAGTCAGGACAAACATTAATAGAAGCTTCAACTAGGCATAATATACCACGTTCAACATTATACATGCGTGCCAAAGCATTAGGTGTCCAATTAACTGCAACTAGAAATGAATATCCTATAGAATGTATGAAGGCAGCCATAAATGCTGTAATTGGTTGGTATCTGTTATATGATTATCAATGTATTCGAATGTGGCATTGCGGTGCAACAAATGTAGCACAATCTATAACAAATAGGTCTCATAGTAAATGATAGTAGCAAATGATTTAAAATAATAATTCTTTGTATCATTTACTTTACTTTGTTAGTAGGTGGATCAAGTTTGCAACATGCATCGGATATGTTCAGCATACCTAAGACTGTCTTATGGAGAAGAATTCAGAAGGAAGGGTATCAAATACTTCGTTCTGAAATAAAAAGGACCTATGGTACTGATAGACGAGAAGCTGCGGTTAAAGCTTTGGAAAGGGGGGAGAAGTTAACTAAAGTTGCACTTGAATTCAAAGTAAGATTCCTTTAAGTGATTCAAATGAATTCCGTTAAGAATTACGTTAGTAATTGTACTTTCAGATTCCAAAGACTACTTTGTTCAGAGATAAAGCTCGCTTAGTAGACGCAGGGAAATTACCGCTATCATTTTGGAAGAAACGTAAAACGGAAAATGAAGAACTAAAAAGATCTCGTTTGGAGGAAGCTGTTGCTGCGTGTAAAGGAGGAAAAATGTCACAAGCAGCTGCATCGATGACTTACCATATTCCTAAAACAACAATATGGAGACGACTTCAACAGGATGGTAAAAAATCGGAACGTCTATTAAATTCGAGGAAGCAACGTATAACGCCTTCTAAGCAGAGTGCAGTGACAAAGGCCCAAGAGCGATCGGATTTCACATATTGCGAGGTATTAATGTTTGAAATCTATTTCATTATTAATCTATTATACACGTTTTGTCTAATCGTTATTACTCACTTTAAACTATAGGTAGCTTCAGAAATTCCCATAACTTATATAGATGAAAATAGTATAGCTGAGGATTCTGTGATAATATTAACAGCGGATGATATGGACGGACTTAATTTAGGGGAAGGACGACAGATTATTGTTAACTCTGTATAAATTCCTATTTCCTATTTTGCACACTAAGCGGCGTATAGGGATGTGTATTGAGTTTTATTATTTTCTTTCTTTCAGGAATCAGTTCAAGAATATGTACCGTGTTCTATAGGAATCGAAGAAAATTCAAATTACTCGCAAACAGAAAGTTAGCACACCAATTTCGGTCATATGTCTAAGAATCATTAATATTATTTTGTACATAGTATACAGAACCGATCATTAACTCTATACATAACAAGTAATGTTAGTAATAATAACTATATAGTTGTTTATCTTGACATTTTCTTTTGTATACACTTCTGATCGAGCTATTACCATTTTTACTATTTACACTTTGAACCCATAAAATTTCACATCTTTCACGTTTTTTACTATTTTAAATAATATACTTTGGGTGGACAGAGTTAATGACCCTGTCTGTACAAATATTACAGTTTATTATTATTTGATTATTTTATTATTCTGCATTTTTTCCATTGTATAAATAAGTCTCATTCTTATAATTGTGTATCGAAAACTGTGTATATTATTTTTTAGTGTGAATACAGAATATATTTTATACGTTATAAATTGTTAAATTTTATAGACAAATAAAATTTCTTGAACGATTGCATTTTGAGTTGAGCAAATGTCATAAGAAACATCTGTGATACACGTAATAAAAATAAAGTTTCCTAGAAAGTCAAAAATACTTTTTTATGATTATATATTCTATTTTCAACAACGTTGATTATTCTGTGGGATTGCTTATTGTTACATAAAAGTCGCTATTAGTCGGTTCCATTGACGCAATGTTAATCAGCCAATACGTGACAATCTTAAGTTGGACTCTATGGGTTTAACGCGTGCGCATTGAAAACGAAATGTGAGGATGACTAAAAAGACATATTAGAATGGTGGCTCATAGCCGGTGGTATATTATGCTGTGCTATTAGAGATAGAAATTTCATCATATTACGTGATAATTGAACAACACTATAAAGATGGCTTATCAGTTATTATCCTCGGCTAATAAATTTGAAAAATTTGTTTTAAAATTTCTAAACAAAAATTTGGATACTCTTCAGGTAAAAATATAACCTAATGTAACCCGTGTGTTCTTATTATTATACAAGAAATATGTTTGTTATCGAGAAATGTGTTTGTTATTAAGAATTTTAATTTATTGAAAGCCTTGTTTAATAGATTTAACATGTACTATTATATGCTTGATTTTTACAACTCTTAAATACATTATTGTCATGAAACACTTCACATAGAATTATACACAAATGAAAAGTATTAACACTCTATAGTAGTTTTCATCTACTTGAATAAATTGTGATTCGTTTTTAATTATAAACTAGGATGATATATTGAGTTTGGTTTCATGTTTTTAAATTAATTTTACATTTTTCTTTTATAAATAATGAATAAATATTGTATTACATTATTCATAATGTATTTCAGTTAAGAAGATCTTTATCGTTGATTAGGCCTGGCAATGAAGCTAGTATGTTTATACAGTTGCAGCAACAATGGAGGTTATTAACAGATGAAGTACCAAGAGGATTTGAAAAGTTTTTCAAAGGTTATTATTCCATTTTGTTAATTTATTACATATAATTTGGGGAAAATTAAATGCTATGTATACTTCTGTTTATAGGTAATAAGAAAAATGCACCCAAAACTGAAGAAAAAGTTGCTAATAAAGTTAAAGAAGGATCAGCGAAACCGAGTCCAGAAGGAAAATCATCTAGCTCTAAGTCTGAGCCTTCACAGAAATCAGAGTGGAAGTTCGATTTTAATTTTGATGACATTAGGAGTGGAAGAGAACCTAATCAACGAAGTGTAATGAAGCTTATAATGGGTGCATGCCTTATATTTGGCATGTGGGCAGTTAGTCAGGTAGTAGAGGCTGGAGTAGAAATCTCGTGGAAGGACTTTTTGTCACAGTAAGCTAACTGTACATATTAGTATTAATTCTAGAAAAAATGTATCAAAATTCACTTACATTTAAATTAATTTTAATGAATTTCTCATAATAAATTTATAGGTGTTTAATGAAGAGAAATATTGAGAAATTAGAGGTTGTTAATAAACAGTGGGTTCGTGTGAAATTGTTACCTGGTCACACAGTAAATGGATCAGTGAGTTCATTCAATTATTGTTTAAAATTCACATCTATATATGATACTATATGGTATTTATACATGATAATCACGCAATAGCGTTGTAACTTACTTGATATATTTCGTAGAATGTTGTGTGGTTCACTATTGGAAGTACTGAAACATTTGAGAGGAACTTAGAAAATGCACAAGCACAATTAAATATAGAACCGCAGAATCATTTGTTGGTACTCTATAAAGATAAAGTGGAAGTGGTTCATGTTTTACAACATGTTCCACAGCTGTTACTGTGGGGTATGACATACTTTTACATATTTATGACAACAATCGATAAGTAATTGTTACTTATATAATATATATATAAATTTCTTAATTATAGGACTGGCAATATACGCATTTCGAAGGACAATAAAAGGTATCAGCGGCGTTAAAAGGGGTGGCGGACTGTTTGGTTCCGTAACGGATTCTACAGCAAAATTAATTAATTCTAAAGATATCGATGTCCGATTTAAGTAAGTCGTTCTATACAGCTAATGATACATGATTACGCTTTCGAGAATTCCGATAAATTGTAGACAGTTTTTTTTTACTCTGAGATTCATTCTTTCTAGCACGTTTTAGGATAAAACAAAGTATAAATGCATAACGTAAAAGCAGATTTCGAAGAGAAAGAATGTACAGGTGGTATTACAAAATTAACAGAAACTGAATGAAAAAAGATTCAGTGGTAGAGTAGAAAAGAATTGTGTGCAATTATGTAATTATATGATATTAGGATATCAGATTTGTGGAACAGTTTCTTGTTCATTTATCACAAGACTGTCGTAATCGATTCGACTGTCAAAGTTTTACATATTCAAAATAATATGTCTTATCAAACTCTAGAGATGTCGCTGGATGTGAAGAAGCAAAGATTGAAATTATGGAATTTGTAAATTTCTTGAAAAATCCTCAACAGTATATAGATCTAGGTGCTAAAATTCCTAAAGGCGCAATACTGACGGGTAACATATTTTACGCGTTATGTTATATTTTAAACGTGTACTATTTTACATTACATTACATTTATTTACTTACTGTAATTACCGTATGATATATTATAGGTCCGCCTGGTACTGGTAAAACGTTATTGGCCAAGGCCACGGCTGGAGAAGCGAATGTTCCTTTTATTACAGTATCAGGTTCAGAGTTTTTAGAACTGTTCGTCGGTGTTGGCCCCTCGAGAGTTCGGGACATGTTCTCAATGGCTCGAAAACATGCTCCATGTATATTATTTATTGACGAAATTGATGCCGTCGGAAGGAAAAGAGGTGGTCGGAATCTCGGTAGTCATTCAGAACAAGAAAATACATTGAATCAACTTCTGGTTGAAATGGATGGTAACATAACAATTAACTGAAAGTATCAAGTTAATATACTTTCGAATCATTAGGACAATATTCTTCTTTTCTCGATAGGTTTCAATACAACAACTAATGTAGTCGTAATGGCGGCGACTAACAGGATAGATATTTTAGACAGCGCGTTGTTACGACCTGGAAGATTTGACAGGCAAATCTTCGTTCCCGCTCCGGACATTAAAGGACGAGCTTCCATCTTCAAAGTGCACTTAGGGCCATTAAAAACTACAATAGATAAAGACCAACTAGCTAGAAAAATGGCTTCTTTAACCCCTGGTTTTACAGGTATGTAAGTTCTATTAATCCTGGAAGGACAGTGTTAAGTATTATAGGAAAACCTAACATTTTTAACAATTACTCGTAACGTCATTAATTCGATGTTAAAATATCCATACAAATTTTCGTCGAGTATTATGCACAGGTTTTTCTAGGTGCTGATATTGCAAATGTATGCAATGAAGCGGCTTTAATAGCGGCGAGAGATATGAACGATAATATTCAACATCAACATTTTGAACAGGCTATTGAAAGAGTTGTCGCCGGTATGGAGAAGAAGACAAATGTTTTGCAACCGGAGGAGAAAAAGATTGTGGCGTATCATGAGGCTGGTCATGCGGTGGCAGGCTGGTTTCTGGAGTACGCAGATCCTCTTTTGAAAGTACGTTTTCCTTGTGTTTGATCATACGCTTTACGTAAAAATTAATTTAATTACAGTACCATTTTGGTATGACTGTAACAGGTATCCATAATTCCCCGTGGAAAAGGTTTAGGTTACGCTCAGTATTTACCACGTGAACAGTATCTTTACACAAAAGAACAATTGTTCGATAGAATGTGCATGACGCTCGGTGGACGAGTGTCTGAGGAAATATTTTTCGGTCGTATAACAACGGGAGCGCAAGATGATTTGCAAAAGGTAATAACTCATCGCGTAAAGTAATTAGAATCACGACATTTGAATCACTGATAGACCTAATCTTTTTGTCATGAATTATTTTGTTTTCAGATAACTCAAAATGCGTACGCTCAAGTTATTCAATACGGTATGAACGAGAAGGTTGGCAATGTCAGCTTTCAATTGCCGCGTGAAGGTGAGATGGCATTCGACAAACCGTACTCTGAACATACTGCACAGCTAATCGACAGCGAAGTGCGCGATTTAATTGAAAAAGCGCACCTGCGAACGCAGGAACTGCTCACAGAGCACAAGGAGAACGTGGCCAAGGTATAATGTATGATTTTCCGTTTCAAAAACTTTGAATCATTTTGACCCTCTTTTTCTCTTTTCTTAATTAGGTGGCTGAAAGGTTGTTGAAACAAGAAATTCTAAGCAGAGATGACATGATAGAATTACTTGGGCCAAGACCGTTCCGCGAGAAGTCTACTTACGAGGAATTCGTTGAAGGTACTGGATCGTTCGAGGAAGACACCAGCCTACCGAAGGGTTTGCAGGAATGGAATAAATCTAGGACAGACTCCAAGGAAGAAGAGAAAGAAACTAAAGCGTCTGCAGAATCAAAACCACCTCCTCCTAGTGATTCGAAAGATCAGCAGCAACAGCAAGTATAATAATACAATTTTAGGATATATAGTCTGCTAAGTACTTTGTATTATAGTTTGAAAAATATAACTGTATTAAGGAATAACACAGGAAAATATTTTCCACTGGATCAATTGTAATTCTCATATTCTTATAAGTCGATGGCTGCCACGATTTCAGTCCTGCTTGGAATAGGCTTTCCCATGGAAAGTGCAATTTTCATTTCTCTTTTATATACACGTAGTTCGGTCAACATGGTTTTTCATAAGTAAAGTGTAACAGCACAATGAACGTAATTACATTTCACCGAGACCGGGACAAATTTATCGGGCTAATGCATTTAGATACATAACTTTTATCGTACGTATAATCTTTTGTTACGCGTAACTGTACATTTTTTACTCTGTAAAAAGGAGGACCCAGCTATTGAGGTTTTAAGGGTGAAAGAAATGATAAGCCACGATTTATACTTTTTGCAACGTATAATTAATAAAGTTTACAAATGTAGTGCAATTAAACTGTTCCATCCTTAAATAAGTACATTGATCATTTGTTTACGTTACTGTTTCTGTCGCTAGTTGTTGGGTTTCGTTTTGGCGGAATTTCTGGTGCGCTCCAATGAAAATATATCACGTGTGAGTGTATACGTCTCTCTTCTATCTCTCACTCTCTTTCTCTCTCTCACTCTCTCTCACTCTCACTCTCTCTGTACATGTGTGTGGTATGTGTAAAAAACAAGAAAAAGAGGAAAAACAAGGGAACAGAAAGAAAACAGAACAAAAACAATTATAATTGTACTTCTTGCATACGAAGGTCTGTGTATGTATATTTTCAGTACAATAAGATTGAAAAAGATTTCACACGACGAAGGTCCTATATCGATTCATAGCTTTAGGAACAAATTTTCGGCCCGGTGTCGTATCCGTTCGAAAATAATTTATTTACAATCCCCCCTTTCGTTTCAAAGCAAAGTACTCTTTATAATGCAACATTCAACAAGTTCGGTATACACGTATATACACATATGTATACATAATGGTACATTGAATTTCGTATACAAATAATAAAACAATTAACACGTTCGCGGACAGGAAAAATTTTAACGAGCCGCAGAAATCGAAAAACTGCGTACGCCATACGCCGAGAGTTAAAGTGTGTCTAATAATTTCAAAAAATTAACGCTACATAAAATGAAATTCACGACAATGTGGCTTATAAATTTCAACGTCACAACATTCGTGTCATTTCGCGTCACGATGGAAATGAATCCTATAGCATTCGCGTCCGCGAACGTGTTAATCGAGAGGCGACAAACAAATCAATAACCGCTGGAAAGTAAACGATTGAAACGTTGAACACCGAGCTAAGTTTCACTTGGGAATTTTCCTCGTTAAAAAATTCTAGTTCAATGGAGAACAAGGTGCGTCCATGAATATGGAAATGTAGGGCCTTCGTCCAACGCTTTCTCCGATTCTTTCATTCTTTCATTCATTCTCTCTCTATCTCTCTCTTTTTCTCTCCTACCCGCGCGCATTATCAAGCCGGAACGTTGAAAAAAACGATTTCAATACGATTTCGGGATTTTCATTGAAACATACGATGTTCCGATGATCCGATACGCCCTCGGGAATTCAACGATCTGACCGAGAAGTTCGCTTCTCTGCATATCCTTCCGCTACGCCGCGATTCCTGCGCTCGCGACAGCGAATTCCCCGGCGAACCGCGAACGTCCGCAGGACTTTCAAATTTCACGCGTCCCCTCGCGAGCGCAGGAATCGCGCGGAGCGTCCTCGTCGTCGATGGTTCTTTGTTCAGCTGAAAAATAAACCGTGTCAAAGATTACCAGAGTCTTTATTCCGCTACGTTTCGCGTCGCGATAGAGACGCACAGAAACTGCTAGTAATTATCTAGGCGACGTTACAAATTGCGCGCAATCGTACAGTAAGTGAACTATCGTGGATTTATCGGTCGAGGAACTCCAGCGATTCGTGTTTTCCTCGGTTTCTTTTAAAATACGCGACACTTTGGAAAAACCAAAAAAAAACGGAGCGCCTTCTCGATCGGTCTGTCGCATCGCACGGTCGTCCGTGCATAGTTCGAAAGGAAATTCAGAATCATCGGGCGCACGATGCACGCACCTTTGTCATCTACCACTGTAGCTCGGGACAAGGATGGACTTAATGTAAACGAACAGCGAATTTGTTTATCACGTGATCATACTCTCATTGGTCCATGTCGCTCCGGTGCGGAGCGTTTTGCGCTTGTGACGTCGTGTGTTGAGCATGAAACTACCGGTACTTTTAAACGGGTAGCGCTATATGTAATACCTCGCTAAATTCTCGTTCCGTCTCTCTCTCTCTCTCTCTCTCTCTCTCTAGTAAATCGAATTAAGGAAAATCGATAAAAAGTTGTAGTCACAGGAGGACGTTTTTCGTTCACCGAGTGCTAATCGCTTCGAATAATGGCCCACGTCCGTGCCGAAGTCCGCGCGGTTTTACTCGCATAAGGTTCATCCTCGTTTTGAACCAACGAAAGTTACCAGTTAATCCAAAGCCCGGTGAAATGAACGACAAGCTGTAGTTTTTACACCTTTCCTTCCACCCGAGATTGGTCGCAGGATCGTTCTCTTTC